CCCTTTTCTGGGGCCATTTCTTCCCCGATCTGATGTTTAGGATGCCTGATCTCCAAGCCTGGGGAAGGAGTACCTTAGTCACAGGCCCCCACTTTCTGGGAAGCCACACTAGGTCATTTCCTTCTGGGCACCCCCAGCCGTACCCTGTAAACTGTTTTATTTTGACATCCATTCCTTTTTAGGATACTTCTTGGTTTTCAGTCTGGTTCCCCTTTCAGACTGTGAGCCTCTTGAAGTCCAAGACTATATCCTTGGTTGCCATTAGGCAGAGTGGCCAGAAAGGTGTTTCCACCTGCATTGGTGTCCTTGCCAGTGCTGATGTGTGCTGCTGGGGCCCCTTACAGTGCAGGATCGCTGGGGCCCCTCTACTACCCTCTCTCACTGCATCACAGGACACCATCCACAGATTAGCACATCCCCAACTGCACCGCTGGAGCTGTGAGAACAGCAGCTTCCTTGGAGGCCAGGTCTCCTGAATTTTACATTTCATACCTATACCTTCAATGTCCTGTATATCACCAACACTGCATAAGGTTTTCTGTATGAAAAGAGTATCATTTGAGGTTCGGGGGAGGGGAGGTGAAAGAGGAAATACATTTTCTTGTGTAGTGTACACAAGGAACTGCCTTCTGGTGTTGTTTGTGAAGTCTTGAGTTTTCCTAAGGCTCAGTCTGAATATTGTTATGAAAAGCAGCAGGGATGATATAAGCGAAGATGGCTTGAAGCTTTAGCATTCAGAGCCCTGGCTTCTGGTTCAAAAGGAGCCAGGGACCTCTGGTTCTCTCTGCTAAGCTGCCTTCCAGGCTGCTGCTATTGCTTAAGGCTGTGCTGCAATCTGGAGAGCTCAGGAGTGGGAAGTCCAGAGTTCTCCCTGCTTCTGGGAACAGCCCCCCATCCCCCTCTCCACTTCAGCTTCCACAGGCAGTACTCATGACAGTGGGTCCGGCTCACCCATGGATTTCACAAACGCCTGGCCTGTTCCCAGCACACCACAGCTGGGAGGGCTCAGTGCTGGGGGAAGGAGCACCATCCTCCATCCTGGCCCCACTGTCTTTGGGCCCAAGGCCTCCAGGGCTGGAGCCCAGAGAGAGAGAGAAGGGCTGCTCTTGTCCAGGCTTGCGGTAGCAGCAGCGGGTGGTAAACTCTGGCCTTCGCTCCTTACTGATTTCCTAGCTCTGGCTCAGTCAAGGGACTAGGAGGAAATTCCCTGTCCTGGAAGAGAGCTTCCATCCCCAAAGGTAGCCGCAGGTGGTCTGGATTCACCTGGTGGGATGATCATTCCGATTCCACTGGGACTCCCTGTGCTTTCGGGAGGATTAGGGGTCAGGTGGGGGGACTCAGCCGTGGATTCTAAGTTAGACCCTCCATCCCCATCCCCTTCTAACTAGCCCCATGCCCACATGGCCCTTTGAGAACTGTCCTTGGATTCCGGGCCTCAGTTTCTTCTTCATCTAAAATGGATGTGTTCTGACCTGGGGGTAGAATGACCAGCTGACCTAGTTTGCTAGGCTTTCCGGGAAAACGTGGTCACCCTACCTGAGGGAGGGATAAAATCGTGCCTGTACCATGTGATGAAAATGTGATTTGACGTGTTTCCTCGGGACCCAACCGTCTGTATTTATTTAATTTACATATTTACTAGTTAATTATTCTGGTGCTCCCACCCAACCTCACTCTGGGTGGCGCCGGAGAGCCAGGGCCCCCGAAGGGCCTTGTCTCGTTGGACCTTAAATCCCCTGGGCCTAGGATAGTCCCTGCGTCAACAGGTATCTGCTGAATGCTGAATGGGCAACGAATGGGGTGAGGCTCCAGGGATAGGGTCCCAGGATGGAGTGTGTGTGTGTGGGGGGGGGGTGCTCTGCTGGCCTGGTGTTGGCCTTGGCTGCTCCGGGACAGGAAAACCTGGCCCACTCGCGGCCTGTGGAGTGTCAGGCTTCTCAGCAGCCTCCCGGAGAGGTCAATGACCCCCGGTGACCAATGACGGGCTCCCTCCGCCCCCACCCCAGGGAGGCGAGCCTGGCAGCCTCGCGGCCGAGTTTCCTGGCACTGAGCTGAGAATAAACAGCGCCCCGCGCCTGTAATCCCGTTGCCTCGGTGACGGCGCGCCACGGGAGGGGGCGTGGCGGGCCGGGGGGCGTGACCATGCCGCGGTGCGCACGCTCCGCGGGCGGTGAAAGCCGGGAGGTACCACCCCCCGCGCTCGGCGCGGACATTCTTCGCATATCTCCGCCAGGGCTCCCGCGGTGTCCGGGAAGTGACTCTTCCTGGCAGAGGGCGGCCTCGGAGCGACGGGCCCGCCCGGCGGCCGCCAAAACGGGAGGGGGCGGGGCGCGGGAAGGGGCTCCTGGGCTTGGGGTTCTGGTCACCCTCCGCCGCGATCCGAGTCCCCTCGCCCGCAGACTTCTGTCTCCGCCTTGACTACCCGTTAATCCCCCCAACCTCTCTGCCTGGCACCCCTGCAGTGCCCCATCCTTACTCATTCTTTAGCTCCGGACACCTCGTGCGGCCTTATTTTCCATCCCTGGCTCCCCTGCCCGTGGCCTCCTTCCTCCCTCCCCCCAAGCAGGCCTTAGATTTCCCATTCTTGGCTCCAAGTCCTCAGGAGGCCTGCTCAAAACAGCACCACCGGAGAGGATGGGGCCTCTTGGGGTGGACTCTTAACAGCGTTCTAGGCAGAGTAATAGGGCCCAGGGCCTTTCTGGTGGCCGTGGGGTACCTGCGCAAGCCACAGGGAATTGCCCCCATCCCCTGCAGCCTCCTCCTAGAGCATCCTGGAGCCAGGAGCAACCAACTGCTGGCAATCAGGACAGAGGGCTCCCACGAAGTCCTCTAGAGGAGGGGTGTCTTCCCCTGAAAGGACCGAGGACGTGTGCATCGAGGATAGGATGAAGAGGGAGGAGAGGAAGACAACAGTGGTGCGCAGAGCCATGAAAAGAAAGAGATGGTTGACAGGTGTGGACCCTAGCAGGCCGGGTGAACTTGAGCAATTTGCTTCCCATCTCTGGGCCTCAGTTTGCTTGTCTGCCAATCCCAAAGGCTGGACCAGATGGAGATAGAGACAGATGGAAGGCTGGAGTGGGCAGAGTCAGGGTCCTGACTGCATCTCCCCCAAGCCAGCATTCAGCCCTACGAATACTGAACATCCTGGCCCAATGGCCACGTCCCAGGCCAAGGATAGGGGCATCGAACACTCCAGGACCCACCAAAGCTGTTGTGTTGTTGCTGCAGCAGGAGGCTGGGGGCGGCTGACTGGCAGGCTCCAGGGTAAGGAGGTGTCCCCAGAGCTCCTACTGCAGGCCTGCAGAGCCAGGCCCCACTGGGTGCCCTCACCTGGACTCTGCTCTGGGGACAGGACCCGACCTGGGTCTGCAGTCCCAGTTCCAGAGTTTAAGTTCCCACTGCTCCATCCACTCCGTGGTCTCCTGCCTGGGCTGGCCCCTTCCAGCCACTTTAGTTCATTTTCCCCGAAGTCTAGGAAAGGGGAAAGAAAAACGACTTTACTCTCAGTTGTTTTTTGAACACTGATTCCTGGAGCAGCTTATCGCCTACTGGGGGCCAGGAAGAGGCTCTGGCTTTAGTTGCAGGCACCTAAGACTCAGATAAGGAGCAGGCCCCTGACTTGGGGAGACAGTCACATCCCAATGGACAGGTTGGAGAAGGAAGCATGGCAGGAAAGGTTCACAGGTGTTTGTTTTTTGGCCTTTTAGGCAGGGACTCATCTGGAGGCAACTGTGGGCATTTACTTAGTGCATGGGGAGGCAGAGAGCTGGTGGGCTTTGGAAACCCAAGGCTCCTGGGTTCCAACCCTATGGTGTTCCCACATTCCCAGGGGCTGTGTCCTTGGGCAGGTTGTTTAACCTCCCTGAACCCAAGGTCCTGCCGCCACTCAGTTGACAAATATTTACTGAGCACCTATTTAGGCACCAGAGGTGATACGTCCAGCCCCTGCTGGCACAAAGCTGTGTGTCTGAGAATACCTTGCCTTTTGGGGGGGCTGTCTTGGGAGTCATCCTGGGTTGCCTCTTAAATGTGTGGGAGATGGGCAAATAGATGGGTGCTAGTTCTGGGATGACCATGATGCAGTTCACGGTTCAGGGTCCCTAGGAATGAGGGAGGAAAGCTTGAAATGTGGGGAGCATGGCCAGGAAGCTCTTTTAACACCCGGTTCCAATGGCTCCATCTGCACAACGTTTTCATGGTATAACTCCCCTGGCCTCCCTGAATCCAAAGTGCTGAGGTCACCTGTCACGGCCTCTATCTGTGCTTTCTTGAACACCCCCTGCCAAGGAGCCCTTGTACCTTTGATAGCTTAGAGCCTCTAACAGCTTTGACTTACTCCCTGCAAGCCCTTTGAAGCTCTTCCTTCCAACTTGCTTTGCATATTCTGGTCAGATCTGAATCAGACTAGCAGGAATTACCCCTCCTGGCAACAGTCTAGGTGGCTGCCTTAGCTTGTCAGTGACACACTTGAGCAGGCGCAATGACATGAAGGCCGAGAGAGGCAGTGCAGGAGTCGGGCACTGCCAGCCCACTCCTCGGCCCCCTCCGTCTCCTCCAATGCTGAAGTGTGGGTGAGGGTGAAAGAGAAATCAAGGCAGAGAAGGGGCTGGGGCGGGGGGAAAGGCTCAAGTCATATTTTTCATTAAAAAATAGTGCTCTTTATTATAAATTACTGAAATGTTTCTTTTCTGAGTATAAATATAAATATGTGCAAAGTTTGACTTGGATTGGGATTTGGTTGAGTTCAAGCATTTCCTAACAGCCTCGAAGGCCTGGGGGCAGGCAAGGACTGGAGGTGAAATCTTTATAAAAGACAGAGTGATTGAGGCAGATTGTAAACATTATTAAAAAACAAGAAACAAAAAACAGGAAAAAAAAAACCACCCCAACACACAGCTGCCCCACCTTGCCTGATACCTGACACAGAAAACTATGTGTGTTGTTTTCCCCCCAGAAAAGAACAGTTCCAGGTAATTCCATTGCTGCTACATTCCTGTACGGTGTCAAGGATCAGTGCTATTGCAGAGCCAGAGCAGCTGGAGTGGCAGGTGCCTGGATGACTTCCTGCCCCCCCACCCCAAGTGAGGGGGGAGGGCTGTGCAGGGCCTAGGGGGCTGTGGGACCTGGTGGCTCTGCTCTGACCACGAGGCGCCTAGGATTGGCCAATACCAACAGGCTAACATTCTACTGGAGCTGGGAGCCGGGCTGGAAGGCGTGGGTCTCTGCCCCCCACCCACCCCATCCTCTGGCCAGTGGCTGGCTGGGTGCCCTTGGAGAATCCCTAGGCCTCTCTGCCTGGATGGGCAGACTGGGGCTCCTCGTGTGCCAGTCCCTATCCACAGGACAGGGAGCATTTAAGGCAAATCTCTAGCCAGACATAGTCAGTAGGCACAAAGTCGAATCCATCTTTTGGGATCAAAGATGGCGCATCTCCTCCACCTGCATGGCCAGGTGCTGGGAAATACAGCTTGGGCAGGAAAGGGAGGCTCACTGACCAGGCCATCCGCCCCTCCAAATGCCACTTCCTCCTTCAAATGGGGGAGGGGCTGGGGCACCAGGACTTCCTTTCAGGTCGCCCCTTGCCCTTCTCCTACACCCAGCAGTGGAGCACACAGCCCCCTCTTCACCTGGGCTGGGCGTAGGAGTAGCCGTTTCCTGGGCCAGCGCAGCTTGGGGCCCCTCAAGCACCCTCTTTCCATCCTCTATCCCAGGCCCCTGGCCCTGCTCAGGTTTAAACCAAATCAAAGCACAAGTTCCGTTGGAAAGTTTGAAGATTCCCAGCAGTTTTCTTAGTTCAACACTTCCCAGCTGGGAAGCAGAGGGGGAGTGGAGGAAGGGAAGAGGAGAATCCACTTGTCGCTGCTATTGTCCCAGGGCCAGCCGGCTCCTCGGAGAAGCTGGGGTGGGGGAGGGGAGCCCAGGTGGCGTTTCCCCTCCCTCAAACACATTCCAGGTCTCGCCAGCCCTTCGGCAGGGGGGAAGGCCGGAGGGAGGGGCCTATCCGGCCCCCCCCCCCCCCAGCTCACCCGGAGGCACTGGACTCTCGGCTGGATTTTTGTGCTTGTGCCATGTGCCACGGAAGAAGGGGGACTCAAGCCCCTCTCCCCACCTCCGCCCTTTGCCCTTTAAAGGGGCGCATCGTACTGGTCCAGGAACTCCCGGATGGGCCCCGGCAGCTGGGTGACTTTCTCGTAAGAGTCCAGGTGCCCATTGACAGTCTTCCGACAGAGATGCTGAAGGGTGGCCACGTTGGAGGAGAGGGGCCGGCTCAACACCAGGGGGATCTTCTCGCCCCCCGAGTAGATGTAATAGGCTTTCCTGGGAGGGCTCCCTGGAGGCGGCTGGGCAGGCGGCTGCTGTTCAGGCTCCTCGGAGGGCGAGGAGGGTTCGGAAGGGGGCGAGGAGGAGGCGCCGGGGGGCGGCATGTAGTGGTGCACCAGTTTGAGCACGCAGTCGAAGCGGGGCACGGGCTGCGTGCTCCGCGGGTCGCTCTGGAGCGAGAAGCTGCCACCCTCGCATTGGATGCGAAGGTTCTTCGTCCCGGACTGGGTCTTGACGCTCAGCGTGAAGAAGTGGCGCTGGTCCGAGCTGTCGCGGATGAGGAAGGTGCCGGCCGGCTCGGCGCTGAGCAGCAGGTTTGCCTCGCCGCCGGTCACGGCGCTCCAGTAGAAACCGCTCTCCTGCAACTTGCGCACTGCGTTCACCACCAGCTGGTACTCGCTCTTGGAGCTGAAGGTCTTGAGGCGCAGGCTGGTGTCCAGGGGGCGGCTCATCCCGGCGGCGGGAAACTTGCTGTGGGTGACCATGGCGCACGGAGCCAGCGTGGGTCTGCGCGGCGGCGGCTGCAGCTGCTTCGCGGCCTCCGCACAGCGGCCGCTACCGCATCCCGGGGGGCTGCGAGGAGGAAGGCGCGGGCCGCGTGAGTGCCCGGAACCCTCCAGTGCGCCCTGTCCGCCCGGCGCCCCGGCACTCCACGCAGACCCGGGCGCCCCGCGGAGCTCGGCCAGCCTTGGCCCCAGGCAGCTCCTTCCGCGCGAGCACAGAGGAGGCAAGTGGGAAACTCGCGCGCCTAAGTTGGGTCTCAAAAAGTGCGGCCCGAGTGGGAGCGAGGGAAGGGCCCCCGGGACGTTCCGGGCGCCCCTCAATCCCGCGGCCCAGGGCTGAGAGGGCCGGGGCTGGAAAGCTGAGGTATGGAGGTAGGGAGGGGACCGGAGAAGCCCGAGGGCTCCAGCTGAGCATTCCGGGAATCTGGGATCTCCGGTTCCCATCCGCTCTGCCCCTTACTTCGTCCCCTCCCTGCCGGGAAGGACCCGGGAAGGGGAGGGGAAACCGGGAAAAGCTCCCAGGACTCAGCGAGGCCCCCACCCTTCCCCGCGCCGCGCCGCGCCTTCCTACCTCGTCCCGAACCGAAGTCTCCGGCCTCGGGGCTTCGCCTTCTACGGTCCCCGAAGCGAGGCGGCGGCGCGGTGGCCAGCGGTGGCCCGCTCAGTACCCAGATGTTGGCGGCCGTGAAGTCCACAAAGGCGCCCTCTTGCGCGCGTCCCTCGGGCCTCGACGTCCCCGGGGGCGACCCGGCGGAGACTAGACGAGGGGCCGCGGCGGGAGCTGGGCCGGGCCGGCGACAAGCGGGGCCGGAGTCGGAGTCAGAGCCACGGCCGAGGCCGCGCGCGCGGGTATTTACGCGGCCTGGCGCCCCGCCCCCCTATTCCTGGAACTGCGCGGCTGGTCTTCTTGTAATGTTTAGTCACTACTCGCAGCAATGAAAGGCTGCGCGCGGAGGGGGAGGGAGGGGCCGCGGGCGGCCGAGGGCGGGCCTCCAGCAGGGGCCAGGACGGCGGAGACGCGCGCGGAGACAAAGCGAGACGCGAGGCGGCCAGTCCGGCCGGCGGGCTCGGCGCCAGCCCCGGCGGCGCGTTCCTGGCAGCGGCCCCTCCCCCGCGCGCGCTCCGCCCCCAACTTCTCATTCACACTTTCCCCCCACTCCCTCCCTTCTAAGAAGGCCGGTTTCTGGCAGAGGCGGGGGCGCCGCTCCCGGAGCGCGGGTAGTTTCTAGGAGGTTGGCCCCGGGAGTCTCCCTACACCCCTTCCCTTTTTCTTGGACCCCGCGGGGACAACCCCCGGCGCCTCCACCGGGCCGCCCTGAGGCCCAGATTACAGACACGCAGTCCCAAGCTAGCAGAGAGGGAACTGGGCCCATCCCGCAGTCAGGCTGCAAGGCTGGGATCAGACCCGGAGCAGGAGGTGGGGGACGCGCGATGGTCACCTGTGGACATGTCCCGAGGCGAGCCCGGAGTCCCAGTGGGTGCAGGGACGTAGTCGTCCAGCCTCGGCCCATCAAGCCATTGCCAGGTTCTTTGCCGACCCCGGCATGTGTGCTGACCTCCGCTCTTCACCCACCCCTAAATGCTTTCACGCGCGCACCAAGGTCTCCTACCCGCTGGTGTGGGTCGGGTGTGGGTCCGGCCAGGCGCTCCGAGTGCGGCGGGTGAGAATGAGAGGGAGAGATGGCGGCCCCGACCCGTGTCCGCTAGCGGGCGCCCTGGGTCTCTTAGGGGAGCGGAGTTTGGAGCCGCACGTCCCGAGCCGAGCCGCGGAAGGGGAAAGGAGGTGCGAAGCGGCACAGTCTGGCTCAGGAGAAGCACTGGGGGACCAAGAAGTGGGGGATTCACATCCCAGGCTGGGGTCAGACCTGGGAATAAAAGTCCCACAGGAAGCCGGGCCTGGTGGCCCGCGCCTGGGATCCCAGCACTCTGGGAGGCTAAAGCGTTCAAGCTCAGCCTGGGCAATTTATCGAAAAAATTAAAACGGGCAGGGATTGTAGCTCAGTGCCTAGGCTGCGGGTTCAATCCCCAGTACCACACACACACACACACACACACACACACACACATAGTGCAGCCAAAGAGACTTCAAAAGCAGTTTTCAGGCGCCCGGCCCCCTGCCAGATGCCTGCACCACCTAGAAGGTACCGGCCTTGACTCCGTTTGAGTGTCTGAGTGCCTCTGCACCCCCAAGGGCGAACGGAGCGCTCTGCACCCCCGAGGGTGAACGGAGGGCCGGAGGTGAAAGGTTGGTTTGTTCTCAGTCACACTGGCACTGAACAAGAGGCAGTCTTCCGAAGGATAGCCGCTTTTGCAACCTGACCCCAAAGAGCTGCTGGGTGCTGGACCACCGGGGAGCCAGCTAAGGGGCAGACTGAACAGGTCTTTGCCTCTCAGGACACAGAAGGGTGGGCTCTCGGCCCTGCCCTGTTCAGATACCCCAGGCTGAGGACAAGGAGCCCCGGGAGAGGGTCAGGGAGATGCCGGCAGCAGCACAGTAGCTTGGAACTCCAGGAGGGCCAGCTGGCCCTTCCTGTCCCCAGGGCCTGGCAGGTGCCCCATTGTCCCGGCTCCTCTCTTCTCCACTGGTCCCCCCACCTCTCCCTTAGCCATTGGGGAAGTAAGTGAAGTGTAGGCAGGACCCACAACCTCTCTGGGCTTTGGCTTTGCTCTCTGTGTTGTTGTTTGTTTTTGAGGCAAGGTCTCCCTATTGTAGCTCAGGCTGGCTTTGAATTCACTGTGTGGCCCACCCTGGTCTCAAACTCGTGGTGATCCTCCTGCATCAGCTTCCCTAGTGCTGGGATTATAGATAGGCGCCCCTGTGGCTGGCTTGGTTTTGCTGTCTATGAAATAGGAATAATAATCTTTTCCCATCAGAGATCGGAGAATTAAAGAGGATGGAAGAGATTCTGCATGTCGAAGTATGATAGAAATGAAAGGCCTCCATCTATTTCTCCTTTGAGACTCAAGCAAGCAACAGCAAGGAGGATTCCTGCTGGGTGTGGTGGCACAAGTTTGTAATCCTAGCAATTTGGGAGGCTGAGGTGGGAAGATACCAAGTTGCATCCAAGCCTGAACTACTTAGCAACTTAGTGAAACCCTGCCTCAAAATACAAAATAAGGAGCCAGGGATTTAGCTCAGTGGTTCTGTGGCTTGCCTCGAAAGCAGAAGGTGAGTTCGATCCCTGGTACCAAAAAAACAAAACAAAACAAAACAAAAACAAAATAAGATTTTAAGAGGACTGGGGATGTGACGCCTCTGGGCTCAATTCCTGGCAACACACACACACACACACACACACACACACACATACACACACACACGCCACATGCGTGCGCAGGAAGCCTGCTGCCTCTGCAGAGGGGAAATGGTTCTATTCAGCAGGATTCACAAACACAGCCCGAAGAGCACAGAGCGTGCACTGGGGCAGCCCTGTAGGAGATCTGACTGCTGTCCTCAGGGCACTTGCTTCTCCTGCAGCGGAGTCTCCCTGTCTGCAGTCAGAGCTCTTGTTCTCAGCCGGGGAGTGTTCCACGGCTGCAGTGCCCACTCCTGGGTGGAGGACAAGGCGGACTCCCAGGGAATAGTCCCGAGTTAATGGACGGGAAAGTGCTTTGTAACTTACATCGCTCTGACACAAGTCAAGTTCAGTCATCCGTTCCCCAGTCCCTCACTGAGCACCTGCTTTTGCCAGGCACAGGGTAGGCTGCGGGGAGACCGGCCAGATGCTTGGGACCTCCGTCCAGCCCCCAGAGCAGAATGCCTCTACAGGAGAGGCTGTGACTGTGACCCCAAGAGGCTGTCATGGTTCTTGGGGGTGGGGAGCAGCCCGGGAGCCCAGTCTGGTTGGAGAGACTCGTTCTTCTGACACAGATAAGTCCTAAAACCACAGCAACAGCATGGGGTGGGGGTGTGGGGTAGGCTGAGGGCAGGTTGCTCAGAGTTGGGCCAGGAGTGTCACAAGCGTTTGAAAGAGTAGAGGAAAGCAGGGCTAGTGGTGCACGCTTGTAAGCCTAGCATTCAGGAGGCTGAGGCAAGAGAGTCTCTGTGGATTCCAGGCCAGTCCAGGCTACATAGGGAGACTCTGTCTCAAACAAAACAACAACAACAAAAGAGTAGAGGAGGGGCTGGGCAGCTGGCATTCTCAGGCTTGCTCTGGAGCAGCCTGCAGCTGGAGAAAGGCAGGGCAGGAGGTAAAAGGTGGGCCAAAGCCAAGACAGGTAGCATATTTCTGTAATCATTTGGGAGGCTGAGGCAGGAGGATGCAAGTTCAACCCCAGATGGGCAATGTAGTGAGATCTTGTTTCAAAATTTAAAAAGGGCTGGCGGTATATCCTGGTGGGAATGCCCTGACTTCAATCTCCTGTACTACAAAAAAGAAAGAAAGAAACAAGCTTGGTGTGGTGGCTTGCACCTGTAAGCCCAGCACTCAGGAGGCTGAGGCGGGAGGATTGCCATGAATTTGAGGCTAGCCTGGGCTACACAGTGAGTTCAAGGCCAGGCTGAACTACACTTCCAGACCCTGTCTCAAAAAAAAAAAAAAAAAGAAAAAGGAGAAAAGAAAAGAAAGCCAGCCAGGGATTTAGCTCAGTGGCACCGCACCTGCCTTGCAAGTGCAAGGTCCTGAGTTCAATACCTGGTACCAAAAAAAAAAAAAAAAAAAAGAAAGAAAGAAAGCCAGGCCAGACTCCCTCCTGCCTCAGGAGATTGGCCTGCTATCTGGAATAGCATCCTTTAGCTGTGTGACTTTAGGCAACTTACCACAGGCACACCATAGGCTTGTACCACGCTGACTTTTCCCTCCCTTCCCTTCCTTCCCTTGCCCTACTCTGCTGCTCTCTTTTTTCTTTCTTTCTTTTCTTTTCTCACACTTTGTAGTTCACTGTGTAACCCAGACTGGTCTCAAATTCACAGTGATCCTCCTGCCGCAGCCTCCTGAATGCTAGGATCACAAGTGTGTGATACCGCACCTGGCCCCTTCTCTTTTTTCTTCTTGAACCAAGGATTAATCACAGAGCCTTAACCAGGCACAGTGGCGCACGGCTGTGATCCCAGCACTTTTGAGGCAGAGGCAGGCAGATTCTGAGTTTGAGGCCAGCTTGGACTATGTAGCAAAACTCAGCCTCAAAAAAACATTAATTACTTAAATAAAGAAGCCCAGGGCTTCAAGCATGCTGAGCATGAGCTCTATTACTGAGCCATAGGCCCTGCCTCAGCTCTCACTGTCCAGAAAGCATTGGAGGGTCTGGGGAGAGAGGAGGAGGAGCAGCTTGGGGTACTAGGGCATGGACGTACCCCACTGTGCTTGGGGGGGGTGTACAACCGCCAAACAGGGTACATTCCAGAAGGCTGCTGGTCTTCAAGCCCTTGAAGCAGCCACCAGGTTTTCCTTTGGCTTTCTTATTTCGCCTGGTTTCCTGGCCCTTGAAAGGAATCCAGAGTGCTCAGCAGAGTGGTGACTGTCAGCCTCCTTGCTTGAGGCACCTTGACTTCCAGATGTGTGGGGCTCTCTGAGGGGTGCCACTTCCTCTACGCCTAAGTTTTTCCTCTACAATTTGTGGGACGCTTACTTGAAACTTCCTGGGTAGCTCTTTCCACGCTAACCAAAATGCCCCCCAACCCTGCCCTACTCTCTTTCTGTGTTGCTGGGGATTGAACTCGGGGCTCCCTGTGTGCTAGGCAGGTGCTCTACCATCAAGAAAGATCTCCAGGGGCCAGAGGTTTAGCTCAGTGGTGCCAGCGCCTACCTGCCAAGCGCAAGTTCCTGAATTTAATCCCTGGTTCCGCAAAAAAAAAAACGATGGATCTTCAGCACTATTTCTTTATTTAATTTGTGGTACTGAGGATTGAACCCAG